GCGTATAATTAGTCTGTGGAACTTGTTATCGAAAGAAACTCCCAAGCCCCTGTTTTGAGGGCAGTGTCAGGAAGCATTTGATTAGTTCATGGCAGGAAAGGAGTAACTTGTCCCCAAGCAAAGAATAGACCAAGTGGAGACTGAAAAGGTGCCTGCTTCATTCTCCATAGCAGACAAGCTATGTTGAAGCACTGCCAGTAAGAGCATCATCCCTTTTACCTCCAGGAAGCAGTAATGGACTCATGTGAATCAATGACAATGTAAAATTTACTGTCACTGAAAAGATCACTCCTTCCTATAGTCTTATTTTTTTCTTTGAGTGCGTTCAGGGCTAAAAACCTAAGGAAATAAAAAAACAAGAGACTTGATGATAGCCAGAATTTTTCATGCCCAAAGGAGAGGTTCCTCTGAAACCCAAAAGATTCCTGATTTACATTACAGGGGCTCTGTCAGATATTTTTTAATTGTTTTATCTTTTCTTGTGCAAAGTTTCTGTCAGCATCTCTAATTTCAGCTCAGGATAACACAAGCAAAAAAAAGAGATGCAGGCATCTCCTGGCACATTGTCAGATAACTGGCACCTGCACAGTAAGTGTGACATGCTCCAGATACCTTGGATTTTTATTCACTTCAAGCACAGTTGATCTTTGTATGTATGCTGGCCAGTTATCAGGACATCAAGGCATCACTTGATCTGCACTACTGCACATCCACTCAGGTTGCTAGTTATCCAGAAATCCCAGACATAAGACCAAATTCCTGCTTTTCTGTGTCAACAAAATTTACAGGGTGAGGGCAAGAAAGAACATGCATGGAAAGAATTAAGATCTGTAGGTGAATACCCAGCTTTTCATGAAAGAAGGGATTGCTCCTCCACTAACCACTACAGGGCCATTTGTTGCTGAGTGCTTCCCCAGTTCCCAGAACATGGCACAAGGGAATTACAAGGACAGAGCAGTGCAGCACTTCCAGTTCCAAGCCTTCTTCACCATGCTCCGTGCATGGCATGGCCCAGCATCTTCATTCTGTGGCACCTGTGGGACAAGGAATATAATTAGGCGTGTGATTATGGCAGCATTGTCTGGATGAGAACAAGGCGGGCTCAGTGATGAAAATGCTTGGAATTAGCAAGGCAGCTCCTCCCTGCTTGCAACTCTGCTGTAGCCATTACCTCCTGGCAGTATCCCTCGCAGCAATGCCCTCGGGATTTCTCTCTCCCCCTGTGCCATACACTCTGTGTGTCAGCGCTACACAGGTGAAAATAGCCACACAACTCATTAACTGGTGGGAGAGCATGAAATGCTGAGAATGTGCCTTTGTGAAGGGGCCAAGGAAAACCTTTAAACCTCATTCTTGTCTTTATATGTCTTTGTTATTATTTATAACAAAAATTATCAAATGCTTGCTAAATTTTATCCAGTCCACAGAAAAGAAACCATCATCCTTCAGAACAATTTATCATTTTTGAAGTTCCAGTCTTACAGGTTTGCAGATGTCACTGCACATGACTGGAGACTTACAGAGTAACTAATAACTTTACTCATGAGCAGTCCCAGGAGACTTCATGCATCCATTTCAGTGCACAGGTATTTACAGAAACAAGATCCAGTTGTCCTGGGAATCCATATATTTTGTATATTTATAATTTGTTATGTCTGAGCCATTGTATCATGTATGTTGTGATGACACTCTAATATATTTCTGAGTGGAAACAAGCTGGTTTAGATTTTACTTCCAAATATTTTGTTTCCAAATGCTCTTCTACTCTTGTTTGTCTTTTTAGGTGTCATCCTGACATCTGTACTCTGCAAAATATAACCTTCTCAGTCTGAAATGCTGTTCTTGCAGCTAAAAGATTTTATAATAACATCTCTCTCCACTAAACATCACACTCTTATTTAAAGACAGATTTTACAAGTTCTTGACTATCATAAGAAGACTCTTGAGTCTCAGTTTAAAGTCTCAGAAGCTCGTTACTCATATATGTGTAGCTTTACACTGTGTTCTAAGAATCTATAGTCATGTCTCATTTACAATGGCAAGATACAACAAAAACCTAGGAGAGACATTTTGCCTGCAGTTCTGGATGCCTTGGCTTTTGCTTTTTCTAAAAATTGCAAAGAGTGAATTCAGCCTATAAGTTGTATAAGCAACAGGGATTAAATTTAGTTACAATTTAATTCAAGCCATGCTGAAGTGGTTGCAAGAGGAAGAAAGACACAATTTCCTCATAGTGACACTTCAAAGAGAAGTCTAAGCCGTGTATATCTGGATGCTCCAGTTCTAGCAAGGAATCCTGTGTGTATGTAATCAGTCTTCTGCCTAACAGAGCACTTAGAGCCTCCTCAGCAGCACTGCAGGTCACACAGCTCCTCCTAAACCCAAGGGGGATGGTGGGGCTCCATGCACCATTTGTGAAGACCAGGTTCTACAAGCTGTCGTGAGCATTCTTGGGCAGAGTCAATTGCTCTGGCCAGTCTTGATCCCTACACTCATTTCATAGCAATGCCAGACTTCTTATATTACAGTCTGCTCTTTGACTACATTTGCCTGAGTGCCTTTTGGACTGTTCAGCCAGCTACTTGTGCAGCAAGTATGCCAGGTATTTTCTCAGTTTGCTGGCACAGACATTGTTCCTGCTGAACCTTGTAGGATTATTAACCAACAGAAAGTTGCTAAGAGGGAGCTTCTTGACATCTATCCAAGATCTAGGTGTTACCATAACACAAATGGTCTTTAAAAATCAGTACTTCATGCACTTTCATTCCATTTTCACATCTGTCATTATAAGTTGTATGAACTTGAAAGATTCTATGTTTGTTTGCTTTAATGAGAGTCTTTGGCAAGACAAGGACTTCCTGCAAAGACTCCGTGGTCCTAGGACGTGCAAGCCCTCAGGTCACATAGCACATATCAAACATATCAAGCTCCATTTTCAAACGCCTGCATCAGCACACAGCCTACAAACAACTCCTAAACACAATTAAAGATCCTCAATAATTCCCAGGTCAACTAATCTCATGTTAAAGATTCCCATCCCCTTATTTTGCCAGGTTGCTCCTATAACATTGTGTTGATGTCCATAGTGTTTCTCTGCCTTCTTACAAAGTAATCAGTGTTTGGCAAACACCAACCTTGCTTCTCAACCACGAGATGTGATGCCATCTCATGCTTGGGGAAAATACATGGCACATGCTTAGGAGCGCTTCTTAATACAGGTACCTAACCAGATGCCACAGCGATGAGTAATAGGGAGGCTCAGCAAGTTGCTAATCAGCTGTTAACTGTGTGCTTCAGTAATTAGCTTCTGCTGAAAACCAGTTCTCCATAGGCCACAATTTTAGGATGGAAATGGCAAGTTAAATGAGAAGCACACAAAGATGCTGTGGTTAACTTTGTCAGTCAGTAGATGGCTCTATTGCTTCTAGCCACCTTCAGGGAGCAACACTGCATTGCCATGGCCAAGAAGGAGAGCGCCCTTCCCCAGGGATACAAGGAGCCTGCACACTGACCTTTTCACTTCATTGTTTCCAAATGGTTCAATTTGCACACAATATTGTTCATCTATTTATTTTTTTGAAGGTGTTTGTTAGTTGCATAAAATCTTTGTAACTCTCTGGTTGTCTGTGCATTGCTGTTTCATACAGCTTAACTTAATTACCTGCTCTTGACAACACCATAATTTCACAGCAAGAGGTTACTGATGTTCCACTGTGAAGGAACTAGTTATTTCAACTGTTTAGAAGTGGACTGAGAGTTTCTTCAGTTGTGTATTCATAGTCACTATCCTGGTTCCTTCTCATTCTCACCTTGTGCAATTGTGCAAGTGATGGTCTTCCTGTCAGCATAAAACATGGCAACACTCACATCACCAAAAAATTACAATTGCTTCATTGATTAGCCCCAGCAGAGAGAATGAATAAGCACAGAGTTCAAGCTACTCTTCCCTTCCAAAGAAACAGTCACACAAAATTGGAATTGTAGGAGACTGCCAGGGCAGCAGGAGGAAGCTTGCAGTGTTAGGCTCCTTCTATTCTGCAGATAAAAAAAACATTTCAGTTACCCAGAAAATCTATTAATGAGTTTTCTCATGCATTAAATGACCACACAAAACCCTCTTCCCCTCTGTCCTAAAAACACAAGCCAGCATGTTGCCAGAAGAGCTCAGTGGTGGCAGAATTTGAAATGGGCACAAGGAGATTATATTGGCTGCAATGGAAAGAAATTTAAAAAGACACAAGTTTATTCTTTGGCAGTTGTGGGAAGATACATCAAAACTATCAGCAGATGTAAAAAGTTCAGGAAAAAATAGTAAACACTTTCAGATGCAGGTGGATTAATGTCCAGAAGGCGGTAATCTGAGTTCCTGGAGCAAGGAAAGCAGGTCCTGTAGGCAGGATCTGAAGTCCTCTGGAAGCACTGGGAATGTTTTCATGGGTTTCAATAGTCCATAGAGCTGCCAAATGTCATGCATTTTACTCAGGCTAGCGAGGACCTTCTCACGCTGGCCTGGCTTTCAGCTGGTTACTCAGGCACTCGGGCTGGCAGTGGGAAAATGCGTCAGGTTTTGGCTTGTAGTGCTGTCTTATGACTGTTAGGGGCCTCCATGGCTCTGCTTCTGTGTAGTCATGACCTGTCTGTAACTGGAGTATGGCCCTAAGCAGTGGACCTGATCCAGGACAAGGGCCAGGATAAAAGATGTGTCAGCTTGGGAACCAGGATAAAAGTTCCCAAGCTGACACATCTATTGATGGCAGGATCCCCAGAATTTTGCTCCACAGGTAAAGTAGCTTCTACCTCTGGAAAGCCCAAGTCAGAGCACTGACTGCTTTTCTCACCCTGCAACGTCTTCCTCATTCATCATCCTTCTGCACTGGAACCACTTGGGTCTGATGTTCTCTGTGCTTCCCTCCTGATGGTACTGTCAGCCTTGGTGACCATTTCTTCCCATCAGTCCCCTTGCTACTTGCCAGCAGCACGCATCTAGTAGCCCGCTCCAGCACTGCACTACCCCACACCTTTGCTCTGCACTGCTTAAAGTAATGTGTGTTGCCTGCTAGTCTGAAAATTGTTTGCAAGCATGTGTAAAATTTCACACAGGGAGCATGGCACCTTTTGGAATCGCTGTTTCAGTCCCAGTCTGGCGCAACATAATAAGGACAATAATAATCACAAAATCAAAGAAACAAATTTTCAACTTGTGGAAAATGCTTGCAGTCAAGGAATGACTGCACAGCATGTGGAAATGAATGACCAAGGACTGGAACAAGACAGGATGTATATTACCATAGGTTTCATGCTGGATGGCAAAAAACATCACATAGATTGAAACAGCAGAGGAATTTATCTAGAAAAAGCTGCTTTACATTGCTGCGAGAACATGGAATGTTATAAAAATGTATTCAGTGAGGGGTCAAGGGAGATATTTAACCTTTCTTGGACTGTAAACATACAAATACTTGTGTTAGATGGTTACAAGCTTTAAAGAAGGCTGACCCAGTTTGCTGTTTAAAATATTCTGAGACTTCCATGGAGACTTATCTGATGCCACCTATATATAATGACCTAGATTTTAAAAACAGTTGGGAAGCAGACGTCTGGAAATCTGCCGTGAATTTTAACGTTTCCCATGCAAAGATTGAGTGCAAACTGGCAGTTTAATTTCAGTTATGAAGGACCAAAATCCTTTTAGGACTTCCCAGTTATATAATTAGGATAGTCTTGCTTGGAAGATGACCATGAAGTGGAAACAGAGCCATCCTTTCCCGCCAGATTCCTGCCCTAAAGGATGCTCAGGTAAGCACAGGTCTAAAGTCATTGCTGTCTAATAACTATATGGTTGTCTGTGTGCCATATCTTAATGTGCTTATTAATAGATGGGTGTCAGTGTCACAGAATTCACAGGCACCACTAGTGCCTGCTGGGTGGGTTCTCACGGGGACCAACTAATGAAGCAGTGAAGAGAATGGATGACTTTGCCAGTGTGAAGCACTCAGAATAAAACAGATATGTGATGATCGGGATGAAACACTCTATGGGATACCTTCCCCTCTCCTCAGATTAACAGGCTTCAGTCCACAGGTTTTTCTTCACATCTATATTCTCTGGAGCTCACTCAACCATCCAAAGTATGAACTATGTGAAGTGGCATTTCTAGAGTTCGGCAGGTGGGCTGCCAAAAGAATCTCTTCTATTCCTATTTAACGTGAATTTCTATGAGTTGAGGAAACTAAATCAAGCAGTCATATGAAAGGGAATTACTGGCAGAAAATATTTGTGGGAAAAAAAAAAAAAAAGAGAGAAGGAAACTAAAATGTCCCTTTTCATATTTTAAATAGGAAAAAATATCCCAGAGCCTCATAGGCTCAGGGATCCAAAGGTCAGCAGAAACAATAAGTAGTAAGTCTTAAAAAAGCAAATAATCTAGTAGAGGGGAAAAAAAGAAAATTTGTAAAAATAAGCAAAAGCAAGTTAAAGGGTAATTAGAGAGATAAATAATACTGATTTCCAAAAAAATATTTCAGCTGACAGCAAGGAGACACAAATATGTTTTTAGTGGAAGCTGACCAAAGATAACAAAAAATTGGTCCATGGGAGCATAATTGGCTTGATTGTCACAGCTCTTTAAATAAGAGTTTTGAGATTATGAAAACAGTTGTGTGATACTACTGAAAGTGCTCATTAAAATAAAGCAGGCATTTATGCAGGCTGCTAGCAAAAATTTCCTACAAAAAGGTTTGAAAAGAGCAAAAAGCAAAAGAGTTTGCTCTTCAAAAACTCTCTGTGCAACTTTTGCAGGCCGGAATGCACATGAAGCCAGAGAAAAGTAGAATTAACTATGCACTTTCTCCCACAGTTTCATCATTAGTGAATCGCATTATAATTACATTATAAAATAAATGTTCATTTTAATCTCCTTCAAGTCTCACAAGTGCTATCCCTGTTACACAAACAAGGATGACTCCAGACACAACAGTTGTGTCTTGAGAGATATCGAGCTAGATCATCTTTCACCAGAACAAACAAAAGCCAGAAAAGATAAAATACTGTGAAATTATGTTATCCTTTTTTTCAGATGTCAAGGAAAATTCTGTGTTATAGTAGCAATACTGAATAAAGTCAGAGCTAAATACTAATACTGTGATTATTGTTGTGCAGAATGATACAATGGCAGACATATGTGCTATGAATTGGAACATACCAGATGCTTGTTCAGATGAATCTTTGCAAAAATTGAGTCTAGTGCAAAAAATGTCAAGAGCTTCAGTTTCTCAGGACAGGTTTTGAATTACATCTCATGAATATTTAGTGGTTATTCTTGCAACTCTTCTTATTTCCTGAGTCCAGTCCCGTTAGTATGAGATGATGTTCCTCCAGTCTCTTGAAGTTCAGTGTCAGAGGGGACTGCCACCTGGTCCCTGGTCAGAACAAACTGGTTTTGGATGAGGGAAGCATCAAGGGTATTCAAATGTCAACTGGAAGTACCAGGTGGAAACCCTGGGCAAAGGAAAGCTTGCAGTGGTGCAGCAGAAACAAACACCTGAGTAGAAGGCAAGCAAAAAAGCTTGGGATGGACAGAAAACAAATGCTACCAGATGCTTTAACATCACCAGAGTAATATCAAGTGATTTTCACTTAACTGCTCTTTCTTACAACTGCAACACAAAGAAGCTTTACCAATGCCTCCCATTCTTAACTGCATTTTGCATCAGAGAATTTAAACCTCACAGAAGCCAATATGGTACTGCTGGCAGAAGAATGGATTTTGCACGATATTTTTTTTAATGCAGATTAAACTAAGCTTTTTTTTATTTTATACTGTGACTTCCAGGAATTACTAGGTTTCCAGAAATTGCCTTTTATGCCAACTTTAATTAAGGATAACTCAGGTAGGAAAAATGTATAACCACTAAACCATCTCATAGCTTGCAAAGTTGTCTTCCCAACAATTTCTAGTTCATGCCCTTCACAAACATGACAAGACTCAATCACCAGAAGTTAAATGAACCACATCCTCTGTGGATATACCAGCCCCCAACCATCTGCAGAAGGCCTGAGAAAATAGAGCTAGTAGTATAACCCAGAAGGTCAATAAACTGATTCTTTCAGATGTGTACTATTTTGGATTTGGAGATAAAAGCCAGGATGTGAGCTTTCTGAGGCTGTTGCTTTATATATGTAGAGTGTTTTCACAAGCTTTCTAAAGACAATTCAGAGCTATGTTAGTATTCAGCTTTTCACACTTATTTGATATTTCCTAATTGCAATTCCCCTCTGTGACAGGACGATTGAAATTCCTATGATTCTTGTTGTAGCTGTTTTGCAGGATTCTTTTATCTACACAAACATTTCCTGTTCTGCTTTTCCATCCTCCCCCAGTGTCCTATAATGGCTTCCTATTGTCATTTTTTTATCCTTTCTTTCACTTGAGTCCACATTGATTTTCACTGATGACAACTGTGTCTATGATATTTCTCAGGTTAGAAATACATCATTGCTTTTATCCAAGTGAAGAGGTTTTCTGTGTGCTACTTAATGCTTTAGATAAAATGTGTAGTGTAATGTTTTTTAAAATTCTTGACCGCATTTTAATTTGACCTGAGCTACAGCACAACTGGTTCAAGTTCTGCATCTTACCCTTTCGTAATTTTCACTCCTGGGTAGTTTCTTATTTATGGAACACCATAGTTGTAATTTAGGTACTGCACAGGTGCTGTATTTATCTGTGATTTATACTTTATCATTATAATAATTTGTTATGGAGCCTGCAGTCTGACTGAGAGTTACAGACCACACAGCAAAAAACAAGGGAAAGAGCAGCACTGAACAGCACCAGCATGGAAGCTAGTTCATTAAAGTCAAAGTCAATCCAAAAAAGAGGAGTCTTAAGGAGATTCTTAAGTCTTCGTTATGTGGAATAAGAGATGTACCTGAGGAAGGTCTGGGAAACAAGCCTGAATGATATTTGTCTATCCTCACCCCCACTGCTTTGCTCTGACCGAAAAAAAACTTCCTTTCAGTGACTGTTTTGTCCCTCTCATATCATACTAGTCACTTTTACAGCCTTTACCTCTCATCATCTTCCTTTCCAGCCATAACATTTATGAATATCCCCCAGATACCACCACTGGCCCTGTTGCCTTACTAGCTTTACCAATCCCTTGTTTTTTCTCTACCTCCCATTTGGGATATCACCACCATGTGCACTTAATCTGCAGCACATTTTGCTGCCAGTCACTCAAACCTGACCCACGCTACAGCCCAAGGGATTCTTCCAATAACACTTAAGGGTGCTTTGGGCTCTCTTTGGTGCTTTTCATTTCAAAAATGTACAAGCCTGGTTCTTTTCCTTTCCCTGAAGGCCCTTCATTAAATACAAATTTCCTTCTCTGAGATGGTGAGTGACTCCATCCTGTACACCTGCAGATCCTGTTCCATTAGTGGGTCTCAGTTCTCAAGTAAGAGTGCTCCTCATTAAGTTGTATGAATTCCCTCACAATTTTCATGATTATGTATGGCCACCACATAAAATATTCTGCTTTACTAAAACTAGTGGGACATTTTTTAGGGTTCTGCATGTTGTTTAAGTGGAAGATATTGGAACATGGCTTCTCTTACATCCAATAATTATGATAGTTCATCCTCCGCTGGAATATCTCTCCAATAGCTTTTGTCTTTTGAGAAAAGAGTAGATAAAAGGTAGTTAAAAGAAGAGACAAGGGAAATAATTTAGCAGGAAATATATTCCTCCTTCTGTTGAAGGAAGGTTTAGAACAGACTATAGAATACTGGATATAGAATATAGAATATATAGAAGATATAATAGAATAGTTCAGCTGGATGGGACCTAAAGTGATCATCTTGTACAACTGCCTGACCATCCTAGGGCTGACCAAGCTAAAGCATGGTATTAAGGGCTTTGTCCAAATAAATGCCTCTTGAAAACTGTGGTGCATCTACCATCTCTCTAGAAAGCCTATTCCAGTGTTTGACCACCTTCTTGGTAGAGAACTGCTTCCCAATGTCCAGACTAAACCTTTCCTGGTCCAACTTTGAACGATTCCCATGTGTCCTATCACTGGATGCCAAAGAGAAGAGATCAGCAACTCAAAGAAGTTCCTGCCCTTGCACTATCTTTTGTGTCCTCTGGATGCATCCATGGATCTTCACATCCTTTTTAATTTTTGGTGCCTGGAACTACACTCATTATTATACTCAAAATTAGGTTGCACCAGCTCAATACAGTGGGATAATTACCCCTCTTGGCTGGTCAGTTGTGTTGTGTTTGATGCATCCCAGGATGAGGTTTGCCCTCTTGGCTGCCAGGGCACACGCTGCTGACTCCTCTTGAGCCTCCTGTCAATTGGCAGCCCCAGGCCCCTTTCTGTGGGGCTGCTCTCCAGCCACTCCTCTCCTAGCTTATACTTCTACCCAGCAGTATTCTCTCCCAGGTACAGACTCTGGTATTTCAGGTGGCTAAATTTCGTCCCATTAATCCTAACTAAATGTTCCTGTCTATCCATATCTCTCGTCAAGGCTACTTGTCCTTCAAAACAGTCAACAACACCTCCCAGTTCAGTATCATTAGCAAACTTGCTAATGGTGCATTCAACTCCTGCACCCAAATAATTGATAAATGTATTGAACAGAACTGTCCCCAGGATTAAGCCTGAGGAGCACTGCTAGTGACTGATCTCTAGCCAGACATGGCCTCATTCCCTACAACACTTTCAGTTCTACCCTCCAGTCTGTTAAAGCTTGAGTAGACAATATGCACCTTGCCACCTTCTTTAAAAAAAAAAGCAATAATTTGCATTTTTTTTCTTTTCCAGATGAATTTCTGCAGCAAATGTGTGTTGTTCGCACTCTGTCTCCTCAACTGATCTGAGTTTCATTTCAGTCAAGACAATTACATCATCCCCTTTGAGCCAAGTATTCCTGGAGTGGTAAGGTGGGAAGTACAGTCATTAATGGGATTAAACCCTATCCTGCAGAAAGCAAGAAAGAAAAAGATCACTGTTCTGGTTTAAAACAGCGGTATGGGGAATCACTAAGCTGCAGATACATTCTGAGCTGTATGTATCTGCCTCTGCAGCTCAAGAGATGCATAGCTGTACAGTGGACTGGTTAATGCTTCTGAACAGATTTCTGGACATTTCAAAAGAAAGAACATTCCCATCTTCTGTTTTCGAAATAGATACAGGGATAGATTCTGCAGCCACAAGAAGCAGGTTGGATTAAGACAAAAAGTATGTAAGATGGCTTCACGGGTGTTCAAACACTTACCAGAATTAAGTATTACCTGGTTGCTGTTATTCTTGATACTTTCTTATATATAATCTCTCCTTAGCAACTGATGGAAGAGGAAAGTCGTGATTTCCTTGAAGTGCTGTACCATCTGTCAGCTCTACTCGTCTTTTCTTCAAACTTATTTTGAGGTAGCTTCATATCTCCTTCTGACGTTCTCTTTTCCCAGGCTTGGCTATAGTTGGATGATTGTTATGTTCAGTTACAGATTATGAGATAATCTATATTTCACTTTAGAAATATGAGGTATCTCACCAAGTGACACCCCATTGACACAAATGTTGATAACCAGTTTTCCACAAGAGGATGTGAAACAAGAAGATAACCAATATGATTCTCTCAGATATTTCTGCAGGGAGTGAAGATATAGCATGACCCCATTGATCCCAGATAGCTTCTGTAGAAAAGCAGCCAGATCTGAAGTTCATTTGTGTTGAGAACTGATGATAAACCTTGCAGACTTTTACCATAGATGAGAGGATCATATTCCACGATGGCCATAAACCATGCTAAGAAAGGTTTGTATTCTTGTGAAAGCTGTAAATTACTGAACCTGGCTTTTTCATATTTTTCTTGAACTTGAAAAATACAGTGATTATGCAATACAATAAATAGATTCTTTTATGTTTAAATGTGATTATTTTATTGAGTAACATCTGGATCATGTATGTGGGAAGCAATTATGCATCTTTTAAAATTCTGTGTCTGTCCTGATAATTTTAATCTTGAAAACACTGGGGTTTGGCTTTTAAATTTTCTTCTTGCTGTCAGTAGGACTTTCTAGGGTTGTAATTTTAATTTTAATTATTTTTATTTGCTCTCTGCAGTCTTTCCAACAGAGCATTAAGGCAGAAGAGGTTAAAATGACAAAAAAAAGCACATCCTCATACAATCAGGATGCTAAATCCAGCTGAGCAAAGCAAGCAGAGTGCAGATGCAAGACAGAAATAAAATATGCAGCAAACTCAGAAGTGAAAGAATAAAGAAGTCAGTATGGCAGACAGTGAGAAACTAAGCAAACACACTGAAAACACAGCCCACGAGAGAAGCAAACACACACCACGTATAATGAGGAAGGAAAAGTCAGGCTCAGGCCATCCCCACTCATTGGCAGCACATGAAGAGAGTCAGCAAATGCGAGCTGTATGGGTTTCTCTGAAAACAAAGGCCTGATTTTCAGAAATGGAATTTTCTTCTTCCCATGAAGCAGCAGATCGCTTTGTAAAAGTCAGGCCCTCCAAAAAGTCAGTGTGAATAGCAGAATGTGGTTTAGAGTTTTGTCTTCTGGGGAAATGTTTATCCACACTAACTGGGGGTAATTGGAAAGGAATCATTATAAATTATCTGTGCAACTTTGAAATTTATCTCTTGCATTGTGTCGTGTTCTGGCAGTAAAGCAAAAGTAAGTTAAGGCTGGCGGTTCAGGAAAAAAGCTGGAGCAGGAAGCATCAGGAAAAGTGAAGGCAGTGAGTAGCTACTCACAGTATAATTTTACAATATGTGGATGTTACACCTGGAGCAAGATGTGCACACGTACTCATGTGTGTGTATACACACACACACCTTTGCCATGCAGACACTGAGGCAAGAGGCAGACAGGCTGAAGCACAAAACCGTTTAAGTACTCTGAGCCCGTGTTCACACATGTTAGACCTCTGTCCCAAGCCCACCCACACTGAGCCCTTTTTATTCATTTTGCTAGTTTTGAAAAATGTGACGAAGAGCCCTGGCATGTAGGAAACAGCTAGTGGTTTGCTAAAGCTCTTATGGGCTGGTCTGCTTTTTTTAATCCTTTGTTAAGTGTGATTGCAGCTCAGAATTCATCTTTTTTATGTTTTGCAAATTGAATTAAAAATAAATAAATAGCTAAAAGGAGCTTTCTGGAAAATTTATTTTATCTGTGTGTTGTTATAATTCAGCTAGCAAACACCAAGTTTTTCAGAGGAGAACATCCAGAGCTCATGGTTTAAAAGACCAAAAGCAGAAACAAAGAAGCAAGGAGCTACATCCTTTGCCACCAGCCCAGAATCCATTACTAAGATTTTTATTACCAAGTCATACAAAGGCAGCAGTGACAAATTATGAGCTCAGGAAGATCTTATATATCACATAGATGGGACTAACAAAATTTTAAAATATATGTCATTTTAAAGGGTAATGAATAAAGATAAATGTGTCTTGTTCCATACTCCAGAAATTAGCAGCTATTTGGAATGGGGAACAGAATAAACCTATAGTTTCACATCACTTTCAATTCTTCTACCGTAATTTTCACAGCCAGAATAACTTAATGGGAAAGTGACACAGGTCACTCATGCAATAAAAAGCTGAATGTCAGATGGTGAGAAAAAAATCCCCAGTGGTTTTAACACTATCAAGAGTATCAAAGGCATGGCTTTCCTGAAGCCGGGGCTATCTACAGCCAGCTCTCATAGCATTTGCACTGGGGGAACTGCTGGAGCAAACCAGGCAAAGCAAAATGAAGCTCACTCAAGTAAAGACCTGTTTCTGAAAGGTGGAAAGGTCTAAGCACAACAGACGCCTCATCTTGACAAGGTAAATTCTATAAGGACTCAGACAGAAAGGGGCAATTACTGCCTTAAGCTTGAGCTCTAATCTTAAATTATAGGATAGTTTCCTAATGAGGGGGAACATTGCTGGAGACAGCTGTGGTGGATGGAAGGGAACACTGCTGTAATTACAGCTCCTTACATGTCAGTGACAGAAGTTCGCAAACTCTAAGGGGAAACACCTTCATAATATTTGTTTTTGCAGAATCAAATATCATTCTCAGTTTGCAGTGAAATGGAAACATCAAGTATAGGAGCCTTAAAATTGGATTTTAGCACTCCATGATGCATGTTAGGAGCTGGACTGCATTGGCAGAGGTGCACTGGGATCTTAACTCAGGCTTGAGTACGATAACAATAGTCAACTAGAGAAATGCAAGATTTGTCAGTGGCACTAGAGAGGGAGAAAAAAAAAGAAAACCAGCAGACAAGTCTTAGGCAGAACATCTGATATGGCATAATCAGAACAAACTTGTTCCCTTCTTTCAGGATGACTGCTAGCAGCAAGGGTGTTGAATGTTTCATACGCTTTCTTATGACACAGAACATGTTACTGGACAGACTGAAAAAATTATTCTTGGTTTAATGCTTTTTTTTTTTGCCTTTGTGAGCTATACAGTTATAGACAGCAGTCTAAAACATGTGGTCTGCAGACCCCCAGGGTTCCACAGATGACTTAAAAGGGCTGCAGCAGAAATAACTAAAGAACAAGCTGTTGTCTAGTCACTATTCAAGGATCTGCATCTCATCACTAATGTTTACAGGGGTCTACAGGTGAAGAAAGCTTTAAATCTTTGCATTTATACTATTACTAGCACATGAGAAGAAATGTATGATATTTTTCCAACTGGTACTTCCATGGATGACTCAGCTCCTACTAGCATGATACAAAACTATATTTTCAGAGTATCTTTGCTTCAGCCAGTACACAGAACAAGACCTGATTATGTAATTAACAACTGTTCAATAATTTGTGTTCTACTTGTTGTTTAATGGGGCTTCAGACTTTGCTGTATTCTTTTG